GTATATAGGACTATACAGTATGGAAGAATTGTCCTCAGCTAAAGGACTGGATTGGGGGAAATGTAAATGATTATGTTTCACTGTGTACAGATCTATGGCCTTTTGGGGGGGGTTGGCTCTCATTTACTGGTTATGTTTGTCTCTTTTGAAGTGATGCAGGAAAGGTCACTCTAATGATTTCACTTTGTATCTCAGGGTTAAGTTTGCCTCCTAAGTAAACAGAAGACAGACAGTTTCCATCACCAGCACCTCCAGACACGGCATCTATTCTGATACAGAAAAAGTGTTTTATTTAGACAATAACTGACTGTTTCCTCCATGTATTTAAAAAATGAGTGTTAAGTACAATCCATAAAACTCACAAAGGCAGTAAGAATCAGAACACTATCCCCAGGCTTATCTAACTGCACTGTTGTAAAACTAAATGGCTACTTCTGATAGCTAGTGATCGTCCCTTTGAAACTACTTTTTTTTTCAGTCTGTCCATGGCCAGGGAGTAAAACAGGGACACCCAATCTTTTCAACAGATAGAATGCAACAAGGAAGGCCACCATCCATCAAAAAAATTCTCTTGTTGAATAGCATAAAATCCATTTAAAACACACACACTGTACTGTAGATTTCCACAGCTGAATGGAAGATATCTGTAGTGGGCTAACTTTTACTTGTAGGGGGGAAAATGCATCTTTGTACCACAAATTAGACAAAGACAGCTTTGTGAGTAGCCATGAGTCCAACCTATAGAAATGCAATTAATCCCTATTTTATTGCAAGTCCCATGTGTTTACCTGAACCTCCAGCAGATGAGTATGTTGATCCAGATTATCAAAATAATATTCTTCAAGCATGGTAATGCTGTAATATTGCATGATAATCATCAACACTACAATATAAGTCCTTTTCACATTATACGTGTGTTTTGGAGGAGGTGCAATGACCTAGGTTTCCTCACATTTCACAAAACTATTTGAATATTTGAGTCTTTTTGACATAGTAGTCTTGTTTAATTTTATATGCATTTTTGTAAGACTTCATGGAGAATTCTTGGGGAGGGGGGACAGAGTTATTTTCAGTTACTCCAGTACATATTAACTTTGAGCAAACCACCCTCTACTGTGCAGCTTAAATGCACTGAAAGCCACTGGAGCGTAGTTTGGTGGACTTTGTATGAGTCAGAGAAGAGAAATGTCACTTCTTCGATTACTACAATTTCCTGTATCTGCTGCGGTATTGGAAGCAGAAGTTCATCACTAAATCTTGGCCACATCGCCTGATATACAGAACAAATGACATATGTAGTACTGTATACTCAAAACACTTTCACTGTACCACATACAAAAGCAAATAGCTGTAGAAACAATAAGCAACATGTTTATTTTCAAAAAATCACTAAAAAAACAGGGTGAAGGGAAAGAGAAGATATTTTAAAAACGGAGATTCCGATTTACATAAATGGGAAAAACAACATTTGAAAAAATGTACAGTCTAGTTTCTATTATTGCACTTTTCATATTACAACAAGGCATTGAAAAATGTTCTCAACATGGAGGACATATTTATATAAATAATGATGTCCATATACAATATCGTACAGAAAGTAGTGTGTCACACTTACAAATAACACACAGATGTAGCTAAAATCATAATACACTTGACACAAGAGCAACAACGAAGTGGTAAGCCTCTATTTTTACAGCACCACTTCAGATTATGTATTTCAGTAATTCATGTGAAATTAGAAAACCCAACTGTGAAAATAAAAACCAGATGTCAGGAAGAAAAACTTCAAACCAGCCATCTCCTTGATATGCTAGCTTTTTAACGGCAGGAAACATTTTTACATGGAAGAACGATCCATTCTGTGATCTCTCCATATGTAGTATGAAATGGCATGATTCAGAAAAGAAGTTGGCTGCCTCAGCTGTAATTTGACCAAGGCGGTCAGTCTGGTTTCTTATGTAGTGTCCTTCCAGCTTTATCTCATGCGCTGTGCTGGATGAAAGGAGGAAAGTGCACTTGCTGCCCCCCCCGGATTCCCTCTCCACTCTATTTTTTATTTATTTATTTTATTTATTTTATTTATATCCCGCCTATCCTGCCACTCTAACCTATAGTACCATCGGCCATGTGGTTCTGGGATGCTCCGATCCTCTGCCATAAAATGGGAAATGGCACTGCAGGCAGAGGAGGGAATGAAGATAACCTCCATCCTGCCACCATCCTCCAGCACCTCCAATGACTGTTAGACATTATGTAGCTACAAAATTCTCTTCTAGTGTAGGCACATGTCTAAGAAACAGACAGCCTGTAAACAGTTTGTATTCTTAATAATTATATTGACTCGTACTCCTAAACAAATGTTTATAAAAATCACAGTATAGTACACCCTGCTTCCCAGGTACAAACGAACCAAAATCCAATTGCGTTGTGTAGTAAGCCACACTAGAGTAGGCCCACTGAATCAGTGGGAATTTAGAGAGTCAACTCCTCAGTAAATTCCACAGATTAAAATGGGCCTACTCAAATTGTGACTTACCATATTAAAGCCAGCCACAGCAACAGTACGCTATTTGAATCCATGAAATGTACAAAACTCCCCATTGATTCAGTGGGCCTCCTCTAGTGTAACTTACTACACTAAGCAACTGGATTTCAGCCACTAAGTTCCTGATAGTGAATGCACCCATGAAAATACCCTTCTTTTTTCAAATGTATCTTTGTGAAAGACGAAGGCATTTAGAGGTTTCCTGCAATCAGCAGTTTAATAAACTTTTAATAGCATTTTAATACAGTGGTGCCCCGCGTTGCGACGATAATCCGTGCAGCAAAAATCGCTGCAAAGCCATTTCGTCGCTATGTGGTTTTAAAAAGCCCATAGGAATGCATTGAAACCCCTTCAATGCGTTCCTATGGGCTTAAAACTCACCCTAAAGCGAAAATCCTCCATACGGCAGCCATTTTCACTGCCTGGTAAGCGAGGAATCCGGGCGAAAACACAGTGGGCGGCCGTTTTGGAACCGCCGATCAGCTGTTGGAAAATCATCGCTATGCAATGATCGGTAAGCGAAACAGGGTACCGATCATCGCAAAGTGATTTTTCCTATTTAAAACATCGCAATGCGTTTGCTTTTGCGATCGCAAAACTTCATCGCTATGTGGATTCGCCGTTAAACGGGGCGCCTGTTAATCGAGGCACCACTGTATATCCTAGGTTGGGAACAGATGATGCTGAAGGACACAAACCATCAGTGTTATGGTTTAATTTAAAGATTGTAACATTTCAGTACTATATGACCGTGTATATCAGGGGTCCCCAACCTTTTTCACCCTGCGGACTGGCTGGGGAAGGCGGGGCACCCGTGTGCTCATGTGCATGTGTGAACGAGCGCACGCTTGGGCACATGTCCAAATGGCAGCGCAGCACTCACATGGGTACGCTGGAGTGCGCCCGCATGCAAAAATCAGCTGTGCGGGGGTGAGCTCTCACAGAGTTCCCTTGGACCCAGTCAATAGTTTGCAGGCATTGTTGTTTTTAGAGCCTTCCCTGGTCAATTGGCAGCCAGACTTGTAGTGGTCTGTAGGATTCAGGACAAACAAAGTATGAATCCCAACAAAACCACAAAATAAAACTATAAAAGATATGTAAGGCTGGAAAGGCTTGGGGCCTATTTTGTCATTGGAATATGTATAAATATTGTTCAGATTTGAAAACAAAACCAGTCAACATTGCTAGATTTGGGATTCTGAATTTATCTCAGAAAACAACATAGCAATATAAGGCAGTAAGAACAGTTAAGTATTCATTATTTTCCATGAGTTTGATAGGCTTCCTTTCAGAGCAAAATCCCTCTATAGGTAATTCATTTATTGAGAGAGATTATCTTGCTTTGTGCTGACATGTGCCTTTTTAAAAGGATCATCCTGCTTTCTCGCTCTCTACAAATATAACAATTCTGAATAGAGATGGGGGTATTCGTATATGAATATCCCCATGCAGCTGGAGTTAGGGAGGGTCCAGCCCCTGGGGGCTGGACAACCCACTCACACAGCTGGTATATGAATATCCCTGTGCAGCTGGAGTTAGCGAGGGTCCAGACCCTGAGGCTGGACCACCCACTCACACAGCTGACAGAGACGGCGGCCTCGCTCATCCTCCCAATCATTCTCGGAGCCCCGCTCTCTTCCTGCTCGGCTAGCGACTTGGCAGCCCTGCAGGGAGACTCGGCCTCCCTCCCCTTGCCTGGACTGGCTAGCCAGTTAAGACCAGCTGCACAGAGATATTCACATACGAATACAAATACCCCCATCTCCAATTCTGAACACACTTTTTCCCCCTTTGTGTGCCTCACACATTTTACACATTGTAACAACATGTCAGACACGTGCTTTGATTGTGCATGAAATATTCATGATTACTGTATATAATGTTCTGGGAGGTGGAGGGGTGTATACACAATGTTTAAAAAATTAACTGTGAACTACAGTGGGGTCTTGACTTGAGAACTTAATCCGTATTGGAAGGTGGTTCTCAAGTCAAAAAGTTCTCAGGTCAAATCTGCATTTCCCATAGGAATGCATTGAAAACCATTTGATCCGTATCTGCTCTTTTCCATCCATAGAAACTAATGGGAAGCTGCTATTCCGCCTTCAACCACTAGAGGGGAATATTTTGTTTCTTTTTTTCTTAGGTCCAGAAAGGTTCAGGGAAGGCAGGGAAAATACAGTCCTGGCAGTACAGAACCAGGCAGTCCGAAGACTGTCTCCCAATCCACTCTCTAAACACTGGGAGGAGGGAGGAAGCAGACAGGCACCCTTTTCACTGGCCAACAGTTAACTGAAAGTTCACATTTTGCACTTTCCCTGCCTCCCACGTGGTTTTTTTTCAGTTCTTAACTCAAATCTAAGTACTTAAGTCAAGTCAATATTTTCCTATGAGAGCGGTTCTTAAGTCAAAATGTTCTTAACTCGAGCCGTTCTTAAGTCAAGACCCCACTGTACACCTATACTTTGCACAGACTAGTTCTCTTCACAGGAAGTGAGTTCTGACTGAGTACTGATCAGAAATAGGAGGATGCACAGTCAATCTGCCTTAGAGGACACAGACAACCAATACAATAGATCCAGTAAGTTCCAACACATCACAAGGCTGCAGTCAATGCATTACGAACTTTTGACTGGTTGCATTTGTAGAAGACCGATCCTCTTTACTAGATGGGGTGAACAAGCTCCAAGTTCCACCACACATGAGTCTCTTCAACAAATCCCACAGTGGCTTTTACAAATTAAGAAACATCTGTCAAATCAATGGAAAATGTGGCTACCCAGAACTGACAAATGCAGAACACCACACACAACTCTTGCTTATTTTCTGTTAATTCCACATTACTCAGCCTATCCTTGCTGCCATTCCATGTGCTGAAGGACTTCTGTGCATTTAAACAGGTGGGCATACATCTGTCAGAACCAACTAGAGTAGGTCCAATGAATCAACAGTACCATAGCAATGCTGACTTACCAGGTTTCCATTGATTCAGTGGGTCTACTTTAGGTGGGACTGACAACTGGATTTAGGCCAGTTTATGTATTTCGGATTATACAGAAATGTTAGACATCAGACCAAGTGGATGAAGAGTTGCAGAGTTTCCTTTAACATCAACGTTAAAGGAAACTCTGAGATCTCCAATGCTTCTAGGACACCAAGTTTGAATATTGAATTATAAATGGGAAATATAAAAATTTCTATATCCCATCTATAGTCTTGTAGGAAAGTATTGGAGGAAATGTATTCCCCCCCGGGTGTTTTTTTTTCAATATGAGCACAGTATGATGGTTACTTACGGTGGCATAATTTAATATTGAGAGTTAAATATATTTGCCAGAGCATTCAGATATGTCTCAAAACAAAAAGAGTCTCAACACCCTATTAACAAAAACACACACATGTGTATATACACACCACACAGACATGTGGTTGTGTTCTTATCAAATTCTTCAAAGTTACTTTCAGGCCATTTTGAAGGAGAAAGACGTACACAAAGAAATACCCATAAGAATAATAAGCAATTTCAGATATTCTCCTACTTTTACTAAATGCCAAACTTATAGGCTGGTTCTTATATGGTTGGAAGCTCCACAAAAAGAAGGGATTTTTCATCACTGTGGCTTTCAAAGCATAATGATACTAGGGACAGACACACAATCAAAAGTTTTGAGTTTTAAAAGAAAATCCACCACACTATGCAAATATGTTACAGAATTGTTCCCAACAGTTTCAAGATATGAAAGTTATCCTACTTCTTATTCAAGTGCTGTCGCACTAATAATCCAACAAGAATAATTCCATGAGGATGAGCTCACCATGAAACCTAAGGTGCCTTCACAACTAATGGCCTTTTTATGAACAGATGAAGGTACCTTATAGGTCTATCTGGCCTAATATTGCTTTGACTAGCAGCAACTCTCCAGGGTCTCATCCAGAGGGACCATCCCCTCTTGGGGACCTCGAATACCTGAGATCTCTAAACTGGAGAGGTTAGATACTCAATCTAGGAAACTACACATGTAAATAACACATTCCTGCACTGAGACACAGGTTGTTCCCATCCAATGTTGGAAACAATCTTTTTGTGGATGTAAAGATGATACAGTACTTGAATCCTTTTTATTACAATAGGAAGAAACCAAACACCAACTTTCTATACATAATACTGAGTTTTCTTGGGCAAAGTACCACTGATTGTGCAGCTATGTCAGGAATGGGCCGAGTTCATTCTTCCAGATGTTGACGGACTGCACCTTGGAATTCCTCATCACTGGCTACACTGATGGGAGTTTGTTCCACTAACATCTGGAAGGAGCACCTTCTACCTAACCTTAATCTATGTGGTGAGAGCATAGTGTACACATACCCAGAAACGAATTTACATAACCAAAAATTAATTTACAAAATGCAAGGTCAGAACTCCAGTTTTGTTTTGCAATCGCATCCAGTGACTTGAGTTTTCTTTCATCCACAGTTCTAACTGTATGACGTTGGTTGAGGCTGTCCAGGCAATGATACAGATTACATACTGTACGTGCTCTGTCGTAGTCTTTCCATTTCATCGTTCCCACTGAGAGCACTTATATTGAAAATAAATGGCAAGACTGAGCCCTCAACACAAGCATTTAAAGTACACTAATTAAATAATTCTTGGCACCTTTGTTTTATGTTCTGAGGCTCCTTAGGGCTTATTTTTGTCCTGAGGAAGTCTTTGGAAGTCTTGGGCGGCATGCAGCTTTCAAAAGTCAAAAATTGCCACTACATTGCCCAATCCAAGAGGTGATTTAAAAAAAAAAACCCTAGAGAGCATCAGAATCTAAAATGGGGAAATAGGATAAATAGGTTTTAAAGAATGTAAATTAAATGTTTCTGGCATCCAATCTGGGCTGTGCTGGGGGCAAAGTTATGGCAACATGATGCGGCTCAATATCCTTCCTCCAGTGCAGCTGTTTACAGGTACGTAAAAGACTAGGAGTCTCCAAGGAGGGCAGACAAAAGATCAGGACACAAAAAACTGCTTGTGGCCCAGAGTAAAGATTTGTGGCACTTTGATTCTGCAGTGTTGGGAGATGGTGGGTCAAGCAAGAGAGAGATTCCTGACTTTCAAATTTGGATGTTCCTCGGCTAATTTCAGCAGTCTGCCATAGAACAATGCCAGCAAAGCAACAAGAACCAGCTCCTTTGATATATGCAATGGTTTCAGCATATACAACTTGCAGGATTCATTCAAAAGGTTGGGTTTAGTTTGACAGTATTGCTCACATCATGCTGGAAGTTGATGCTTTCTGATAAGCAGTTGAACTGGTCCTTCAGGGACAGATTTGATTATGTTCCAAGCATCATAATGCATGAGTCCCAGCAAGGATTTTCCACCAATGGCAAGAATTTCATCACCCACTTCCAGTGTTCCATCTTGTTCTGCAGCGCCACCTGTTGGCAAATATAGGAAAGGCAGGAAGGAAGAATAACGTTACTGGTTTCATGGACGTAACTAGGCATAAGGAAACACTTTCAGCACTGTGTCCAGAACAAGACAGTACTATTTCAGCTCTAAAATGCACTGTATTAGAGTTCACACAATTGCACACATTTACTGGGTGAGCTGATACTAAGCTTTTTCTACACATCCTTCCTAGAACATGTTTATCTTGGGAAGTGTTTTCTAATGGACACTGGCCAAAATCCTCTTGGCACAGGTGTGCAAATGGCATAACTTTTGGAGACAAATGGCTCCAAATTAAGAAACCACCACGGGCATTATCAGTAGCACACTGAATCTTACAACCCAGTATGCAGCTGATAATGTCTATAGCAATTTCTCAACGTACGCCAATTCCCCTCCAAAAAGGCGCCATTTGTGCTATATCAGTGTAACCAGGGAGGAGGGTTTGGAGCACTGTATTTCTTCACAATAAATCCGCCAAATATATTCACATTCACAGGAATACAGCTGACTCTGCAGGGGAACAGAAAGCTGCCTAAGGTTAGGACGGGGGGGGGGGAGGGGAAAGGAACCTTAAGGATATAATGAATAAAAGGTGCAAAGAAGAGAATAAAGAAGCCCCACCGGGATGGGGAGAGTTACTGGACGGGACAAGAGAGGGCAAGCTTGTTCCTACTTGAATGGAACAAACCAAGAAACCCTGTCCTCTCCAAGTTGATCCACAACGGCCCCTGTAAATGTTCAGCCAGATCAGCCTCAGGCTCAAGGCTGGCAGTCGGCCCCGATCCCCTTCATCATGATATGGTCCAGTGAACGAAGGCTTGGGCAGGAGGAAGATGTCCCTTGTCTCCTGCCAGAAGCACTACAAGCTGCTACTCTGGGCTGGCTGAAGCCTTGAACCCAGGTTTCCTTTCAAAGACTGATGATAAACATGAACTTTTTTCTTCTCCTGGCAGGATTTCACTTCTGCATTTATTTATCTTTATAACTTGGGCCATCATTGTTTCATGTCTTAGGTAAAGCAGATCCTAGAATGGTTTATAGGAAGAACCAGTGAAGACAATTTAAGACTAACAATACATCTAACACTCATAAGGAAAAGGTCTAAATAAAGAGCAGCATGAGCAAGACAATTAAAATGGAAACAAAACAGTTTATTATGGCTCCTTATAGACAAGCGATGGCAAACCGATGGCACATCTGCCACATCTGGCACACGGAACCTTCTCTACGGACATGCGAGTCATAAGTCGCCAGATTGCTACTCCCCCTACCCAACAGTCAGGCGACTGCAGCTGTTGTGCTCGTGCCCCAAAAGGCGGCAGGGGGCCAGGATCGGGAGCAACTGGCACTGGCAGCTGATCCAGAGCAGGGTCTCAAGGCACCTCTGTGCCCAGGATTCCCCCTTCTGCTGCCACTTCTGCTTCCGCCCACTGGTTTTTTGTGTTTCTTTTTTTTTTCAGTTTGGGCATTTGGGCCCAAAAAGGTTCACCGTCACCATTATAGACTATTATCCATACAGTATTTACTTTAAAATTTTCATCAAGGTGCCAAAGCAGCATGGAGAAATTTTAAAGGACAATATACAATAAAGTGACACTAACAAAGTATGATAGCCAGTGTGGTGCAGTGGATAGAGCGAGAGGCCTGTGTTCAAATCCCCGTTGCAGATTGAAAACACACTTGAGGCGTGGTATTGGTAAACTATTCCTTAAGTATCTCACTTAGCTTGAAAGCCCTCTTAGGGTTGTGGTAAGTCAGTTCTTACTTGACAACAACAATAAAATGCAGTGAATAGACTCACATCATCAAATAGACTTCAGACCATTAATGGTTATCTGGAATTAACCTGTCAAAGCCATTTGAAAACTCCACCTCTCACATAGGTAGGATTACAAAAATGGAATGGGAGATTTCCAGTTGCTTTCAGAGGAAGGGGACAAATTTTGGGCAAACCTTCAGAGTGGGGTTTGGCTTTTTTTAATTTTAGGCAAGTTGACCAAGATATTTTTTAGCATCACAAATTTCTCTGCATCCTCTCTGCTGCAATTCCAAGTCTGAATCTCCCATGACAAAAGTAATTTCCAAACATTTTGCTCTCTGGGGCAGAGCAGAAAACTGCTTTGTCTGAGGCCACCTACCCAATATGAGTTGGACCAGCTCCATAAAGGAAGATTAGACTACTGAACCCAATGGAAAGGAGTGCCAAAGGGGGGCTCAGGAAATCTGTTTTCCAAGTACCTTTAAAAATTCTTTTGATGATCAAAGGTCTGTCTCCAGAGATTGAAGCTTTTCCTCCATCCAGACTGAAGCCTAAGCCAGCAGAAGTCTTGAAAAGTTCAACACAAATGGAATTACACAAGTCTCCACCTGGACCTTTGAAAAGAAAAATGGAGAGATACATCGCTTTCCATTTACTCCATTCCATTAGCCAAACTTTGAGTAGTCATCACCATATTGGAAGTTAATGACAAAAAGGTACACCATTCACATACAATCAATCATCAATCCTCACAGTACAACCCTGCTTTGCAACCCTCCAAAAGGTATAAATCATCCTTCCTTACATCATAGCCATTCCTCAGTATTAATAAACAGACAGTTCTAACACTGGGATCCACTTTTTAAGCTACTGAGACGTGATTCCAAACATTCTGCTGGAATAGTTTCATCTTGGATTGAAAAATGTTTGTAAATCCAAATGTCTTTGGAAATGAGACTTTATGTTCATATTTACAGTATTACGTTATTCAGAAACCAAGAGGCCGAATCTCATTTCCAGTGAATCAGAGTGGAAACCTACCAATTTGTTTCCGCATGGGTTAGACTGGGACTGGAATTACACGAGTGTGTACCTGCGTGTGAGGATATCTTAGAATGCTGTTTGGTTTTCAAAGCATCTTAAAGGAAAACTCAAGGGGATTATCACATGTTCCATCCAGTTGCATAAATACGGGCAACTACAGCATGAACCATATTTTCCTTTCTCCATCCTGCCTCTCTGCAGAATCCCTTAGTGTTTTGGTGAAGTGAATCCATTCCAGGTGATGCTATACCTGCTCCTCGTCCCTTTGTTGCAGCTCCCACCATTGGTTTTTCAGCCGCAGACTTTTCCCTTCCAGAAGATGATGTATTTTCTCCACTTCTCTCCTTTTTGATGACAACAATGGCGTACTTGTGGAGCCTTGCCTGGTGGAGAGCGTTGAGGACATCTCCATGTACAGATCCCGCAAGAGAGACACCGTTAATAGAAAGAATTAGGTCTCCTCGGTGGATGATTCCTTCTTGGGATGCCACCCCCTTCGAAAACACCCGATGAACCTTCAGGAAGACAAGATTACGGTGAAGATTGGCATCCTATTGAAAAATTGTCCATTGATAAACCAAAAACAGCAAAGAGATTTTCACTGGTAGGCTGCAGTCTATGCAATGTTACACTAAATGAAGCTGATGAGTCTTTCAGGTGCCACAAGACCCTGTTGTTTATGCTGCAGCAGACTAATTCAGTTCCAACCCTCTCAAATGTATTAAAATAAGTGACCTTTTATCAAACAATGTATTGATTAACAGAGGAATTGGAAAACTGTGGCCCTGGGATTGCCGTTGCCTTGTCCCTGCCCCCCTCCCCCCGTTTCTTTTCCTGGTCATTGGACTCCATCAAACTCCCCAATCCTTGAAAAGGAAGGAAGCAAGGAAGGAAGGAAAACCTCCAGGAACAGTGTTTTGTCTTTTAAATAGATAGGGTTGGAAGGAAGGAAGGAAGGAAGGAACAGTGTTTTGTCTTTTAAATAGACAGGGCTTCCCCTGCACTGTTCAACACCCAAAACACTCATTTTTCAAAACTAGAAGTGGAATTTTAGCCAATTCTGATTTCACTTGGTTGGTTTATATTTTGGGGCAATCTATGAGCCCCAAGGAGGATGCTGGGGCAGGAAAGTGGTTTTATGAAGAATTGAATATTCTCACTAAGCAGTTATGAACCTATTATTTTTGGTTTTTCAAAAATGAGAAATCTATAGAGTAGGATAACATACTGTGGGCACCTAGTCACACCATTATTTACAGTATCTACTGTAAGTCCTCATATTTTTAAAACTTTCTACTATTCACAGTTTCTCCACTGAAATACTAATAGGATTTAATCTAACTAGCACAACTACCTGAAATAAATATATTTTAAGTTTCTGAATTCCTTATTTTACTGCTCTTTTTAATCTTTCCTTTGTACACTGCCCAATTTTATAAGTATACTTTTCTTTGCCATTGTTTTAACTGCCCCTGGCTTATATTTTGCATTTTTTTAGTATTTTACAGGCTATAGTTTGACAGATAACAGAATTATGAAATAATGATTTTCTGTGTGTGTTTAATATGAAGTTATGCATTCACTTGATAGGGTTAGCTCTGAAAGGTAGTATTAAAATGCTAAAATAATATTAAGGTAAAAATTGCACTGGCTACACAATAAAATAATGCTTCGTATGTGATAATTTCCCATGTAGATATAAGATGTGGTCTTTTGGACTAGAGTAAGTAGCTTAGCAAATACTTCTGGAAAGCTTACATGCCAGTCACAAGATCTAATCACTTCTATATAACAACATAACACAAAGCCTGGGCAGTGGTATGTGTTTGTTGTTTGTTGCTTTATTTTTATTTTTTGTTCAAAATCAAAACTTCCCACGCCCTACATTGTTCCCTTGGCATTCTGGACCTGGAAGTAGGGCAGGGAAGATGAAGGGAGCCTCATGGCAGCTTCAGAGCACTGCAAAATTTATTTTATTTTAAATTAAGTGTGAGAAAGGAACCAAAAATAACCCTTTGAGCATCTTGTCTAAAAAATGATGGTAAACTATGCCCCTTTCTAACATTTTGGAAATGTCTTCTGTTCACCTAATGTCCGGGCCCTTTTCTGTTTTCTCCATCTTCTTGGTAGTATCTTCCGTTTGTGTTAAGGGCAAAACAAGTTTATCCTAGTTCTAGTTCTGAGGCCTCCTGAGGAAAAGCTTTGCCTTTGTGAAAACTTTTACTCAAATAAAAATGTAAAGCTGGTTTAGAAAGCCATGTTTGTCTGATGCCACAAGGGACTCACAATTACTGAAACAAAGGTGTGTGTGTGGGGGGGAGACTTTCAGCTTAGGGATCTATTTCTTGCAATTAACTAGAGATTTCCTTGCTGTCCACAGTGTGCCCCAGGAAAGTTTGGGAATCACTGGAATGAAAGGCATATGACTGAGGAACACCAAGATTCAGCTGATACCTTGTGTCCCAAAATCCAAAGCCAGAGAAAGCTACATTGGGGACTACAGCTCCCAGAATTCCCAAGGGCTAGCCTGTGATTCTGGGAGGGATATTCCGAAACAGCCATTTTCCCAAGCTCTGTTGTCTCAAATTTAAGACATGTGCCTGAGGCTATTGCTGGGGTTCCTTTTCAGCAATAGGGTTTTCCTCACATTTTATTTGGCACCCAGGCCCATTGCCCTCTCTGATAGCAATAGCAGATGGTATTCCAAATGATGCAAACGGCCATTCGCAACAGGGCTTTATGGCTGGGGACTGACTCGATCAATGAGCGCTTGATCTCCTCTCCAGCTGGCTTTGCAACACACTTAGGAGAAAAATGCAGCCAGTCATCACTTACGATGATGGATTTTTGTTCCAGGTCCACTCCTCCAGCAACACTAAATCCCAGGCCAGAGCCTTCTTCTTTATTCAGGACTACAAAGTAAACATCTTCTTTGCTCTGACAGAAAAAGAAGGGGGGAAGGAGGCAGAAAGTGCATCAGTTAAAAAGAAATACAGTATCAGAGAAATTCACAAGACATCTGAAAGATGAGAAGAGCCCTGTCTTTAAAGAAAACCTCACAGCCCCTGAGATTCTTTATTCAAAGTATGTACAATTACAATTAAACTAAGCAGGTTTCAAAATATTACAACGGCTGTTCTAGAAGGATAGAGAAAGGCACTTTTTCTAGTTCAGTCGCAATGCAGATTAGCTCAGTTTGAGCAATGGGTTCTGAGGTTTCAGTCACAGCTCAGATACAAGTCAGGTTGATAATAAAGTGAAAGGGGTGTCTGAACATGTGTAAATCTGCCTTCCAGTGGGTAGACAAGTGCTATTTGAGTTGACGTGCGAGTCTTCTTGTGAAAACCTTTAATACATTTTTCAGCTGTGTTTATCTCGGTCCAGGGGGCTACACTGGCCTTTGGAATTATTGCATTTGAGGCTGTCCTGCCCTCAGGCTGGCCCCTCCCCCCTGCTGCTGTGGGCTTTATGGCAGTAGTGTTCTTGCTCTCTCTTTCTCTCTCTCTTT